CCCACTGGCAAGCGTTCTTTTACGTGCACGCCAAACTGTACACGCGATCTCAATTTTTCGTCCCATCGGAACGACTATATATTGTCGCTCCATCCTACACCATTGACAAGGGGGAAGCAGGCCGCAAAATCACGATGAACTTTCTCGGCCAACACCGAGATCGAATACGGGAACTCCAGGTTATTGAGACAATGTCTTACTCACTAAGCCAGCGCGGCTACGCGCAGGAAAACGGTGGGCCAGTGAAAAAAACATTCAGTATGAAATTGTTGGTATACTGACACTGAATTTCATTATCTGATATCCTTCACACCAATAGGAATGGTGACCATCTTGCTATGTACTAGAAATGGATTACAAGATGATTCATGTTACGGTTATGTGAAAGTGGTGTTACGCGTCCGACGTTTCTCGCGACCCTGTTTTGGGAAATCTGACATAGTAATGCAGATATGGAGTTCGGTTCCACAGATTGGTAGATGTCCAAAGTATTCAGCGCCGGAAAAACCATGGTCGGGCCCTAGGGCCGTGAGCATGTGGGGCACCCCAGCCTAACACAAGTGACCACAACTTAGGCAATATTAATCCATACATATGAATGTAACTACATCAAACCTAATTTTGAAGTCTGGGAGATCTAGATACGGAGAGTCATTTCCTCGAAGGGTCTGGAAGGGCTCCATCACTGCCAGTAGCAGACGGAGTCCTGGGTCCGACCATACTCACATCGCTTTTTGCGCAACTGAGATTTTTTTGTGGGGGGGGGGGGGGGGTCTGATGTTGGAGGCCCTGGGGCCTGAACCCCACCGTGACCCGTGTTTAATCTGGCGCGGGAAGAATTCCACTAGCGGAATCATGAATATGTCGCATATATCTTTGGAATACTTTCGATTGTGAACTGTAAAGTACTACCAACTATAGTATAAATATTTATAGAATGTAATGTGCTTGTTTGTGCTTATTTATTGACTAACGATATTAATTATTATTTGTATAAAAGCATGGATTACTTGACTAATATTTTCAGCAACAACGATTAGATACTATCGAGGAAGAAAGTTCGGCAGATACGGCTTTATTAGCCGTTAAAACATAAAACCTTTATGGTTTGTAAACAAAATGTCGTTTTATCACGGAAACCTCTACTTCCTCTTCATTTCACTTCCTTGGTTCTCTTCCGTTTTCTGTATTATGTGTTTTACGGCTAGTTGAAAACAGATCGTTTTTGTCAACTTGTACACAATTTTGGGATTCCTTCTCAGCTTTCCCAATTCAACCAAATAAAGTAACGGGATAAAAAAATTTCATCCCGATACAGAGAGAAAAAGAGAAATGGGTTATCGTCCACTCGACAAAAACTAGGTCATTTCGGGACTAACGTATGGTTCAATTTTATTTCATTAATTCGCTTGCCTATGGGTCTTTAGCTGTAGGGGCTAACCGGAGGACCCAGAGAAAGTCCACGATTTAGGACAGGCGACCTACACCTTGTCACGTACAAGTGGGGATTAGAAACCACGGCACTTGACTCAATGACAGACCTTACGATCTAACCCATTCCTCTTATCCCGATACAAGTTTTCTTATCCTTGACATGAACTTCATATAATATAATACTTTGATTAATTTAGAAAATAGATCTACTTTCAATTAGCCTATCTTTTGTATGTTCTTATTCCAGGTTTCCCTTTCCCTCATTTTTCTTTTCAGATATTTATATACTCCGGGTTACAAATATGTTACTTTGCTGTTCCGTTTCCCTCCCTCTCAGTTATTGTGATCCATATACTCGTGTTTTTAGGTTTTAGTATTATATTGTTGGGATCTTACAACAGTGGGAACAAATTCTCTTCCTATTTTTGAACGGGGAACTCTTGAATTTATATCAAATATAAAATCATGGCTTCAGAATCCATTATTATTAATTTAAATTATATTCAAGTATAAACAATCCCATTTCGTCATCCCTTCTATTAATTCACCTTTTATGAACTATATTCTCTGCCATTTTGTTTTTCTTTTGGGTATCCTTCCTCTCCCGTGATTCTACTTTCTTTTCCCTTTGATATTGTGTTACTTTAATTATATTTCTTTTCCAGAACTATATTTTCTGCCATTTTGTTTTTCTTTTGGGTATCCTTCTTCTCTCCCGTGATTCTACCATCTTTTTCCTTTGATAATTTTGTTACTTTAATTGTCTTTCTTTTCCAGATCTTTTTTTTTTAATTTCTTATTTTTATTGTTGTAACTTTTAATATTAGTTTAATTGAAAGTACTTTGCGTGTTAAGGAATGAATTTCACCCAATTATGTTTGTATTGTTTATATTAATTAAGATCATGCAATGGCTGTTAAAATTATTCAGATAATTTGATATTAACAGAAATGAATAACATAATATATATTACTAATGATTATATATGAATATTAATAAGGATAAAGTGTTAGCATGATTAATAAAATGTGATATGACTGTTGTAACTTCTGTTTCAGTAAGCTTATGTCCGATTTTATTTATATTTCAGTACATAACTCATATGTGATTGGTTGGTTTAGTGACGTCATCAGTTTAATAGAGGTACCATGTCTGATTAGCCCTACAATCAAATATCTCAGGTTAATATCGAGAAATTGTAGTTGGTGTTGAAGTTAAAACTTAAAACAAGACTCCTAACTCGGGAAACACTCATACAAAAATTGTCAAAGTTAGATGTGTTTTGTTTTAATAATTGTTAATTAAAAGAAATTTGGTTTTACATAACACAATATTTAGGAAGCCATTATACAGTACACTGCTGAATATACGGATTTTCTCATTCCGGCCGATACTTGCTTTTAGTTTATTTTTCTTCTATTTTTGTATATATATTTTTTAAACGTGTAAAATTGTAAATATGACAGAGATGATGTTTTATATTGATCGCATTTTCTTGACAGTCATGTCTAGCTATAAAATATCTGATGGTGATTTTTTTCCCAGAAATTATATTTTAATCTTGATTATTGTAGTTTATCATAATTCTGTTTGAATAGGCTAAGCTAAAATCTAGCAAATCGTTACTAGTAATACCGTCTCATGCTCACACCACTAATATTTACGAGCGTAATTTAGTTATAACTATTTAATAACCTATTTTGCTGTAAAATAATTTAGCAAGTATTTTTGCCCCAGAAGTAAAGTTAAAATTGTAATTGTCAGTCTATAGTCGTACACTCTTAAATCGTGTAAAATCCTACAGTGGTGTAAACACTTAAAGGAGCTAAATCGCTAATATCTGGGACCTACAAATTGACACAAATGGTTCGCAACGTATATAATAATGTAATATGAATGTAAATAAACTGATTTACTTTCAATTGCGCTGAAACGCATTATGTGATATAAACACTTAAGTAAAGTCAACACTGAAGTAATCTAAACTTTTAAAGGCACAACAAGCACAACATTCCATTTAGAAATTAAATCTGACGATATTTTATATATACCGTTTCTTTTGTAATCATTGTGAAAATGATTCTATTTGTGTGGGACCACAACTTACATTATCGTAACACACGACATACACGTGTATCATATTCTATGTTGTTTTTTTGTTGTTTTGTTTTTGCATATCGATTACTTTGTTAGATGTATACTCTCTTTCTATACACAGGAGGATTATGTTTAACCTTAAAGCCCGATACACACTGTTCGATCTTTATCATAGCCATTCTTTTCGGGATATGTTATATATTTACTAATTTGTTAGTACTTTTACGCAAGTTTCGGTAATACTCCCGACAAAAAAAATCGCACAGTGTGAACTGGGCTTAATGTCAGTTTTTTTCTGTTTGTTACCTTATACTATCCTATATGACATTTTAAAGCATCATTTTTATTGTTTTGTTTAGATTAATATGTTATATGTATGCCTATAATCCTGTTTCACTATTTATTAATTGGTTTGTGTGTGTACAGAAAGGGTTGATGTAAAATAAATTAGTATAAATATATGTTTATTATTCAAATGTAAATATTTTTTAAAAACGAATGTTGTCCATATAATTAAAATATTATGTCTTGTTTATAGAGAAAAAAAAGCGAGTTGCAAATTAAAAATTATATTTCTATGCAAATAAAATATTTTTGTTTTATTATTGATTCATATTTATAAAAAAAAAGGGGAAGTGACCTAAAAAGGCTGCTCTAATTGGGTTTAATGTCCTAATGTTCTGCTCCGACTGGACTAATGAAGATGGGCATACGCCATACAGTGTGCTGTGAGGGACATTTAGCCCGGACATCGGTGGTACGGCCTACCCTTTTATCCAATTCCAACTGCCCAGGGATCTTTTATGTGCACACGGAACCATGGGTTATCGTCCCACCTGAACGACTAGACAGTTGTCCTTGTCAGACCCTTCGTCCTGCACCACTGACTAGAGGAAACCGCGCCGGAAAATCACGATGAACTTTCTCGGCCAACACCCGGAGCGACCCCGCGACCTCCAGACTAGTCAGCGTCTTACCCACTTAGCCGCCATGGCTCCCTGCTCTAAACAGATGGTCCATCTCATAAATAATCAACAGTAATAAAGATAATCTCACAGAGGAAGCGAGCTATAAAACTTTTTGGAAGTACTTTCAGCAAGCAGTACATTGTGTTTTGAAAATGCATGCTGTATATGAAGTCGGACGTTAAACGCCATTTCATTTTTACCATTAAACTATCTAAGAAATACCTGTTCATTTAAAAGGTGTACATAGTCTTAATAGTCCCCGCATTCCAAAAACAATTATATTTAAAGATTTCAGTTGTTAATAGATTAATCACTGATGAAGTAGAATTGACTCGCGATTTCTTTACCGTTAATGGAGCTGGACTTCTTTTATTGAACGATGCATTATCTATTCACACAATATGTTTTATACTGTTTCAAGGTTTTGGAACTTTTCCAATTCTTGTTCTCTGCAAGTATAATCCTGGGGTACTGATAATAAATGGACCAAAAACAATATGATTGAGTACATATAATATATCTTTATTATCAATATATTATTATTTGCATAACCAGATGATTAATATCATAAATACATCTACATGTAATCTCCAGTCTACATTATCTGCTATGTAGAAACAGTCAGTTCGGTTTGCTACCAGAAATTTGGATTAATAAAGATGGTGTTATTTAATTTATGGAATAAGTTGAACTATTTCAATCTTGTACTCAGCAAAAAATTCTTTACAGAAGTTTAAACAAAGACAATCAAAGCCTTATATATTATTAAATATACATGTATACATATAGTATACTATAAAAAAATAAACAAACTTATAAAGAGAGGTAAATCTTACAAATGTTACGTTTTATTGTAATCCTGCTTATAAATTCAAGGGGGATTACACAGAATATTTTCAATGTTCAATAATTATTAACTTTCTCCTTATTGTTTTACCAAATCAATTACATTCAACACTAAATTAAAAACAACTCCTAAAGGATAGAGTGTTTAACTCTCTGCATTCTCCTAAACAACTACCAAGACTGGGCAATTTCCTGAGAAATCTAAAACTTGAGAACTAATCCCTTAATGCCTCTTGGGTCAACCCTCACCTACCAATAAAATATCAAATCATAAATACATTTCACTTTTCAGTGCTAGGCCGTGTAATATAATTACCTACGAATATTTCAATTCTTAAAACAAATATACAACAATATATCCATATAATAATAAAATATATGTATAATTATTGGACAGAATAAACAAGCTAACCACAGTGACTATGTCCCCCACCCCAATCCCAAAATAAATAGATAACACCCATTAATTACTTGAACATTTGTCATTTTATAAAGCTTCAAGTCATCAAATTACTTATGCTCTGCTTAAAAAGCAATAAACAATATGAATAAGAAACTATGGGTATAACAATTCTTATGGATGATATAATAAACAATACTTATGTTATCCACAACAACTGGTTTTAGTTTAAATATATGTATAATAGTCATTTAAATACCTATCAAAGATATTATTCTTAATAACACAAATACATTAATAATTCCATGACTTACTATAAAACTTTGGTTATAAAACAATATTCATATCATATTTCCCTCCAAATTTTACATGATATTTATTAAAATTAAGTACATCACAGAAATTATATATAAATAAAGATACTTTATACAGTTATATGGTTTATAATATATTATATATTAAACAATAACAGTTAAAGTGGCTGATTGACAATTCAGAGATTTCGAATCCCTTGTAAGCTATAATAATGTGAAAATTCAATCTATAAAAAGCACATCATTCCAAGTTGGGAAAAATCCTTCAATAGGCCTCTTTTTATCTGATTGAATCCAAACCTGAGATATTAACTACCTCTGATATCTTTGCTTTGTTTTTTTAATTAGATGTTAAATTATCAATCTGAGTATATTATAGAGCATGGATTAAGTTGTAAGAATTTGATATTGTCTCTAAAAAAAGGCATGATTGTAGGCATTAAGGTAAAAACAAACTAATAAGAAATTCATATTCATAATTCTTTTTTTAACCAACAGTCAACATCAATGAGAAAGAAGTCCTACCATGGGTGCACTTTATATGAAATCTTTCTAGAAATCTGTGAACTGTTAGTCTCACAATAGACTGAAATTATATGTAAATTTGACCTTCTATGTGAGGCCATACAAAAAAAATACCCTGGTTCTCATATATCACTGCATCACTTAAAAAGGGCTACACAAGTTATCCAAGCAGTGCACAGATAATGGAAGAATTTAAAAGATACTAAAAATTGGTGACTAGATTAACTTTATTTATTCATTACACTGTGAACATGAAATTATCTTTAGCTAATCATTATACATACTAAATCTGGGTATTACAGGTCTTTCTTTAGGCCTGAAATGTTATCTAAATTTTTAATTAGACATTAATTAACTTATCCAGACCATAATTAGCCAATGATATTTGGTGGATTTGAATACATTTTGTGATTGATAATTTAACGTAAAAATGGATAATCGAGACTTGGTTCATTATCGCACTAAAGTTAGTAATGACATTCAAGGCTAGCCTAAAATAAAATTGCTAATATCTCGACTTGGCCATTTGACTGAAATTTTCAGCATATTCGGTTTTCATTATCTATTTTTTCAACTATTATAGAGAGAGAACTGCCAGCTCTTTAACTAATCTTGCCTAATGCCCCTTTCAGTTTTATTTGTCATGGTCAGTATAGAAAGGGTATGTTTTATGGGGGCATCATATCAGACTCTAAGCATGGTATTTAGAAGTAGTAAGACCAAATCTTCGATGCCTTGATAAATAAATAGACACTTGAATCCTGTTAACAATTATTTGTTTAACATGTCGACCTAAAAGCTTTTTAGAGGAACAAACAAGTATTTTTTATTCTTAAATTATTATTTTAATCCTAAAGAAAAAAAGAACCAAAATTATAATAGGTAGGTTTTCCCAATGAATAAAAATACAAACTGGTGTAGTCAAAAGAATATTAACATAATTAAAACAATTTCCTAAGTAAAGAAGATATTGATGATTGTATTTCAGCAAGACTACCTGTTTATTGCATTGAATAGCAAACTTGTTAATATGCCATATCAATTCCCACTCAATACAGTCATAATCAGTAACAAACACATCATTGGATAGGCACCTATGAAATACCTGTTTATGTAATAATTACTGTATGGAAACTACAACCTTTAATTGTCTCGCACAAGAAATATCTGTTTGTGTAATATAATTAATAAATACAAACTACAACCAGTAAGTGTATAGCACCAGAAATACAACAAGCCCTCCTTACTTAGGAAAATCAAAAAATAAAATGAAAGTAGAGAAATTTTCAACCCTCGTCTTTCACAGAAGGTTGCGTTGTTTCAACTGGCTCAAGGTTTCCGGGCTGTGTAATGGCAGTTGCTGAAGGCGTAAAGAAGGGAACAGTAGATGGGGTTGTTTCTTCTGAATTATTATCAGTTGTGAAGTTTGTTTCTTCACAACTATTTTGTTTTTCAACAATAAGTCTTTTAATGGCCACCATCCACTGATTAACCTGAAGAAAATGAATTTTAAATAATACCCCACAGAAAAAGCAGATTAAAGGGAGGTAACTCCTTTGCAAAAGGACTCATACCAATAATTGTCATTGATTTAAATGTTAAATCTATGCCATTTCTTGTCCTGCAACATTTTTTTTTTTGATCTTTCTGATGATCATAAACCTTATAACCCCACGGAGCCCAACATGTCACATTCATGATCTGATAAAAATATTGAAGTGGTATGACCATCTCGACTGTTTGCTACACACGGTCATTGAAATCTATAGGTTCTGTCGCCATCTTTTGTACATTACATGTATTTCTATAATTTATGTCTGTTTAATTCAAGATCTTTCCACCTTTCTTTTGTCAGAAATGACAACATTTACAACACAATAAAGTTTCATTACGGGTAACAACCCGTTTGGCTTCTAGTTCTGTCCTATTTTAACATTTAGCATACAAAACATTTAATATCAATTGATATAATCATCGGAAATCGTTGAAAATTGACAGGCTTCATCGTCTCATGACCTTAAACACTGCATAAATATAAAGTCAATCAGATATTAACTTTAGCCTCTAAAGCATCCACAAGATTTTTCAAAGTGATCAAGGGCCATAACTCTGGCAGTAATTATCTGAAATCATTGAAAATCAATAGATTTCTTCTTCGTCACATGACCTTAAACACTGTGTATCAATTTAAAGTCAATCGGATATTAACTTTAGCCACCAGAGAGTTCACAAGATTTTTCAAAGTGCTCAGGAGCCATAACTCTGGCAGTAAATATCAGAAATAGTTGAAAATCAATAGGATTCTTCGTCTGATGACCTTAAACACTGTGTATAAATTTTAAAGTCAATCGGATATTAACTTTGCCTGTGGATGCCAGACCGACAACATATCAATGTGGGCATATAAAAAAGGCATGCAAGCCAAAAGGGTAGAAAAGGTAGATAAGGGAAGTAATCACTAGTCTCAAGTTACAGGTTTTCGACATGTATATTACTTCAAGTTTGGATCAGGAAGTAGGGAAATAACATAGCTTCCTTCAAAATTGTTTGTGTGAAATAGCTTTATTTAACATCCGCTTCCACCGAGGTGATATTGTTGTCATCTTGGTGGTTATAAAGAATAAGACAATCAGAATGTTAATTGCCAAGAAATGACATTGTATTGTTCTCTTATAAACATATGAAATATGGTAATGAAAATAATTGCCAAGAAATGACATTGTATTGTTCTCCTATAAACACATGAAATATAGTAATGAAAATATATATCACAAACAGATGTGAGTCATTATGAACTGACTAGTTAACATATACATATACTCGTCAAAAAAAGTAGGGGATATTCAGAAACAATACAAAACTGCGGAAATACACTGCTGTTTTTATTAGAGATAACCAGTGTATGCCAATTGCCTACACATGAATATAAACAGTTCATAGGGCGGCTTATCTGACGGCCCCATTTCACTCGCAAAGAAATACACTGTCAAAAGTGAAACCGGCCTTTTTTATTTTTGTCTTAATAATGAGTAATTGCTCCACCAAACCTCAGACATTCAGCAAATTGTCATGGCATGCTCCTAATCAACCATCCAATCACGATTTGGGGCAATCTGACCAACTCCTCTTGCAGTGCCACGACCAATTCTTGCAGTGTTGTCAGTTGACGTTGACGAACATGTCTCCCTATTAAATTAAACGTAACACACTAAACGCTAAACAGATACGCTAAACAGTAAATTTTATGCAAGAACCGATAGGAAAGCAAACATGGATAGGATAAACCAGCATGCGGCAGTTTTCATCAACCCTTCCTTGAAGTGTCAAATTTGACAATGAACCCCTCCCACGTGTATGGCGCTATTGCGTGTCGCATGTGCAGCTCAGTGGTTCTGTTGGGGCGTTAAGTTCTTCATCTGTGAACATACTCTCAAAGCATTTCAAATGTCCATGACTATTTATCATATCACAATCTGCATAGGTATTTGCATTTCAATATCCCCTACTTTTTTTGAAGAGTATATATTAAAAAATATGTATAATGTGTTTACTAGTCAGTTGAAAGTGGTTATCAAGTAGGTGTTATATATGTCACTAAGGGATTAAAACCTGAATAATAAAGTTTGTGTATTTAGTAGTGATGGGTTATTAACACTTTAACACCTGTTGTGCTATACTTTACAGCTAAGTTACACACCAGCTGTGTAATTTCTAATCACCTTTTATTCATACTAAATGCTAGTTAAGCATAATTATGACATTAGTGGAAACATGTTTTATTAGTAAAAAGGCTTGGTTAATTAGTGAAACACATAATTTTTTGCATACAGGATATAAAATAATTATTTTACCTCAGCTGTGTGGTCTACCATTAAAGATATGTGAAGCTGATTCGCTGTTTTAATATCATTTTCTTTTAAAGCTGAAGTATAAATCAAATTAAAACAATATTGAAAGCTATCACACATCCCTACACAGAAAATAGATATCTAAGCCCCTTCCTTGACTTTCAAACAGGGAACCATGCTGACTTGGTGAGTGTATGTGAAGCTGGCTCACTAACCAGGAGCTCCCTGGTTTAATTCCTGTGTTGGGAGGGGGATGGCCTAGTGGTTTAGAGTGTCCTATAGGAAAAAAGACATCTGCACGTGCGCTAAGCATAATGAAATAAGACTTGTCTGCGATACCACCACTGGTGGAAGCGGATGTTAAACACTTATAGAAGAAGAAGAATGTTTCTTGGGAGTTCACCAGTCTGGTTTCCCCTTGTCAGAGGTGCAGGATGGAGTGTCTGGTGAAGAAAAGTGCCTAGTTGTCTGAATGGCATAAAAAAACCTGACAGGCCCCTGTGTACTCATCGGTATATATATATATATATATATATATATATATATATATATATATATATATATATATATATATATATATATATATATAAAATAAGCTCCAAAAGCCTACTTAGTTAAACTGGAAATTAATTAGTTCTGTTAATAATACATATAGGGGAGGGACTGCAACCTTTAAGAAGCTCATGTAAGACTCCATTACATGTAAATAACTTGATGTATGCTTTGTAAAACAGAAACCAAGTGTTTTTACATTAAGTAGCCCTTTAATTTGTGTTGTTGGGTGGTCGAGTGGTTTAACAAGTACGCATTTAGATCATAAGATCTATCCACTGAGCTAAGTTGATTTCATCGCAATCTTGTATGTGACAAAAGAGTACAGTCTCTTGTCCAATCTCGTGGGATTTCTAATCAGGGGTGGTTGGGTGGTCCTCCAGTTTCCTTACCCTGCTACAGATCCCTATGTGCAAACAAACAAATTATTAAAATAAAATTGAACAATATGTTAGTCCCAAAATTATCTAATTTCTCTCTCCTGTCTTGATGACCCAATTCATTTTCACACATTTTTTTTATTTAACATAACAAGACATTATACTTTATAAGCTGAATTACCTTGTAAGAGATTGCCTACTTTTAATTGAACTAAATCTGAAAGTTTTCCTTCAGACCACATACTATTCATAACATCTAGTCTTCGTTTTACATCTTCACTGGCTCGACCCTGAAACAGAAATTAACAAAACATTAAATTTAAATCATTTTAGTTTTTGTATAGAGTATAAAAGGAAATAGCCTAGACCATGTTTGAGGAAATTAAAGTATTAAAAATATAAATAAAACTTGGCACAGGATATGAATATGAATGAAAGAGTACTGGCCTTGAAATAAAGCTGGTTAGGAAAATATGAAAACACACCTATTCAAAAAGCTTAGTTTCCTCCATAAATAACAAATAAATTATGTTTGGACTAGTTAAAGATGCATTATGTAAGACTTAGATAAGGAGCTATGGTTCTTGCTATAATAGTTCAAAATTAGATAACGAAAAATGAATATATTGAAATTTTCAGTCAAATCACTTGTATCTGAGTGAATTTATCAGGCTTTGAAGTCTTCACAATATCGCCTTGATTGTCAATTACCATTGTTACGATAATAAACAATGTCTAGGTTATCCATTTCTAAATCAAATTATTAAAGGGTGTGTTTCAATCCATTGAAAATTGCGACCATTCAATAGCCTAGAGAGTTGATTATGGGCTTGTCGTAATTTTTTAAACCAACACCAGGAGATCCTGATTAGTGAAACAGCACCATACCCTCTGAGCACCAATTGCTTTCGACTTAAATTGGATGATTTGCTATAAAAATGTAGATAATTTATCTCAACTGTGCCTACCTGTAATCTGTCTTTAAATTCTTCCACCATTTTCAAGAGATTATCATAAATATATTTTTGTAAATCTATTAATTCTATTTCTAATTTACTGATTAGCGATTTTAATGTTTGTGCACCTGGGCAGGCTGGAGGGGCAGTAGATGGTTCCACAGTTCCAGGATTTGGAACGAGTGAAGGCACTAAAACAGGTACTGGCGTAGGTGTGTCAAGATTGGTGGCAGGAGGGAGAATTTGAACATCTAGCTTGGGTGGGCCTTGTTCTGGATTTAAAAGGACACCTAAAATAGACAAGATTTATAGATTTAAAGCTGATTCCCTGTTGTGTTAAACAAATAAATATCATTTGATCGAGTGAACATCGCTAGTTCTGAAGATTATCAAATAAAATTGTTTTTCGATCCACTGGAAACTGAATTCACTCAATCAGAAAACTTTGATTACAAACTTCACCAAGGGTATCTCGTCACATAACGCTTTGCTCAGAGTATGTAATGATGGACCCTTCACCTAGAATATCTCTTTTAGTCTTAGAATATTTTAGAATATCATTTCGGTCACAGAATCATTATTTCAAATAGAAGCTATAATATTTGAATATTAACTGAAAATACCAAACTATTTGTATAATAATTAACACTTTGCATCACAATGATACAGAAATTAGGATGAAGTGAAATGAAGTTTAACGTCTTCCAACTGGGCTAATATGCTATGAGATAATTTTGCCCTGACAGTGGCACTACAGCCTAGTCTTATATCGAATTTCAATAGGTAAGGGATCTTTTAAATGTATGTCTATGTGTACATGCACCAGGCTGATCGACTTTACGCTGTTCTTTACCAGGCCTCTGTCGTTCACCAAGACAGGGGAACCATGCCAGAATAACCTAATGAACTTTCTCGGCCAGTGCAGGGATTGAACACAGGACCTTCAGGTTAGCGAGCCAATGTCCTACCCACAGCTCAAGCCAGCATGGCTCCCTAGAATGACACAGTGAACAGGGCCTAATATGTATAATATAACAAACACATCATTACCTCCTCCACTTGGACTAGATCCTGACATCGGAAAGGCCACTCGTTTGTTAAGCTGTGTTCGACGTGGAGAAGAAGCATTAGAAAGTGCTATCGGGGCAACATAGTCAAACATTGGAGGATCATTCCATCCACGATCGTCATTACCTGTTATTATTAAAAGAAATCTTTATCTCTCAATCATCCATTTATAAAATTGGTAGGTTTTCATTGTGTGTCAGTATATCAATAAAAAAGACAAATCGATGCCAGACAAACTGACAGGCATCAGCAGCTGACTTACTTAAACAAGCTTTATAATAACACCAAGAATTGCACTCAAAATTCAGTAATCCAACAATAACTCTGTATAGAGTGATCACACAATGGACAAAACAATACATGTCTATTTATTAAGCTTGATTGTGATAATTTCCGTGATCATCTCACTTTCCAGAAGTACATGCAATTAAAAAAGAACTCTTATCACTGCAGATTTTACTTATTATCTACAAGACTGGACATTGTCAGTGACAAATTCAGACTTTGTCAGGCGCTATCCCTCTGCTGCCTGTCATCATGTCGGGCACAGATCTGTCTTTTTTCTGTGTTTTTAATGATATTCATCATAATACATGACTGGTACAAAGTTGAAACTGTCAAGTACTAATTCAGGGTTGCCTGACAGGGTAAATATGTTATATTAGGTACCATATGGTGTATATAAAGGGCACAAAGATCTAACTCAAGATTATCCAATCTTCGATTTTAGAAACAAGATTTATTCTTCCATTTGAATCCATATTGTTATTTCACCGTCAAAATGTAGGCTCCTGATATCAAATAATAAACACAGTAAACAAGTTTAAAATCAGCATGTAGGCTACTCTATGCTCTTTTTAAAAGTGATTAAAATTATAATGAAACACTTTGATGAACAAGGTTAAACAGCAGTGAGTTTCGAGTGCCAAACCGTAGCCAGCTACTTCCGAAGTAGACTGGATTAACCAGGCTTAAGAGACTACCATTCACTGCTCTGTATCTTAATGATCAGGAATTCCAATAAAAATAAAAGTTTTTATAAATGAATGTTTTTGACACATGTTCGTAAATTTTAGGTTCCAAAGAACAGAGATTTAATTAGCTCCTTTAACTAAGTAAGTCTGTGCGAATCTGGGACGGCTCCACTTCTTGGATAGCCTATAACTATAAGTGTAACGTTAACGAATAATAAACTAATAATTAATCTTAATAAACTATTAGGCATCTACTCTAGTATAAATATAATATAGTATAGTTACTAGTACTACTACAAATTGTAGTTCTAATCTAACCCCCTCATTTACTATTAGTAACTATTACATCAGGTTTATTGTTAATTTCGAATGTAGTTGATTATTACTATTACGAATGGTGTTAAGTTTTGTGTAGCTGCTGTGCAGCGAGATAATGCCGTCAGTTAGTTGACAATCACCAAGGATTATTAATCGACACCGTTTGTTATTGTTTTCTTTAGCCAACTCACCAGGTCTGGGCGCTGCCATATTGGACACGTGACTTTTATTAACCAATCGCGTTAAAACAAATGGATCGCTACCGGCTATTCCTGTAGTTTAGCGTGCTCCACAATATTGTACTTTAATTTCAATATGAAAATGAAAGAAAATATTTTAGCAAACTTTTCCACCTTTGTTCATTATATTTCTAATAGACCACGACGTATGTCGACATTTGGTTTGGAAACACCATCATAAAGAAACTTTTTATTAAATATCTGTTTCAATGTAAAACGGATTTTCAGGGGGAGGAAAGGTAACAGTAAATAACCCATGAGGAAACCATTGGAGGGAAGCCATGAATTTACATTGGAGTCGATGCAGTCGGTGACACAATATAACGGAATATTTGTTTCCTTAAAAGGTGTTTGAGAAAATCGAGATGTCTAAGTGATAAATGATTCATGCATCAACAGTTTTAACTTCATTTTGACGTCTTTAAGTATTGTAGACAACGAAAATGAATCCTGGAAGTGTGAATTTTCTAACACCGATGACACTGTCATTATCGGTTCAAATGACATTAAATGTGACTTTTCTGTTGTCCCTATTATTAGGTGTTTGTGTAGGAAGTTCTGGAACATTAGGACTGGTAGGCGATCTCCCCGAAGGAACTTCTGATCTGGGACCTATTGTATATGGTAAGTCAAGTGTCTTTTTGAATTAATTATAAAAATAAGTTGTCAGACTAAACAGAACACATGTGACATACATGCCCCAACTCCTAGGCCTAGATCTACCATGCATTTTTAAATAATTTTCTATAAGATAATTATGTGAATCTCTATTAAAGGGAATGACTGATGGGTTTTTCCCTTTTTTAAAGACTCAATCCTATTATTGATATACCATTACAAAATCACCCACTGCCGATCAGTTATGATTGGTAATTTGGTACATGTAAATTTACAAGTCAACACTATAGTGTCACAACTATTGATATAAGTAGTAAAGTTGTTTATTTCAGTGACGTGTTATGCAAAGAAGACAGGTAAATCAATACAGTAGGTTCTGAGTTTGGGGGAGTTGCTTAATTTAACCTGCCATGACTGCTACATTTGGCAAAATCTCTGATTTTATTACATTTACATTACATTCCTATTTATTAGTATGCATGTACTGTAGTATTCAGACAGATAGAGTTTCTCAAATAGGATTTTCATGTCAGCACACCAGTTTTTATTAGCAGTAGCACAGCAAAAAGTATTCTTCTTTTACAGTCAATCGTGTAGACTTAAAAGTTAAAAGTAAAGTCTATTCCAGAATTGAAATATTTTGATCTATCTTCTTAATTTATAAGAAGACATCCACCCAATGTCGCAAATCATTCCTTTATTCATGTAGCACACTACAGCATGGCGTACATGTATATGCCCATCTTCATTAACCATCTTCAATTGAGGTATAATGACAAACACCTCTATTAAAATAGACCTATATGTCTTACCATTTTCGACTGCATTGGTCTGCTGCATTGCTACATTTAGATCAGTTTTTAATTTCAACCAGCCTTAAACTTTATGCTATCCCCGCAATATATGTAAATATACAATACAAACCAGGGATTATATGTGAGTCAAAGTATTAAGATGGTACAGTCTCAGTACGATTTGTATCGTAATAAGGGATGTACATGTATATTGCGACAAAAAAAACGTATTGCAATATATTATGATACTTGAACAAAAGTATTGCAATATATATTGCAATACTTTTGTTCAAGTATCGTAATATATTGCAATACGGTTTTTTTGTCGCAATATACATGTACATGTTTGCAATATTTCGATAAAGTCAGGGTTTATCACAAAACACAGTTTTATTTTGAATAGTTTTATTGGTCCTACAACTTTGGCCTTAGACACTTATTGTTTACTGCAAAACCTATAATGTTATTAATATGATTGATTATGTGAATACACATTTCACTTTAATTGATTTTACAACCTTGGTCTTGTCTTTTTGGATTTAATGTTTATTGCAAAACCTAAATAATGTGACTGATTATGAAGCCTTTGTAAACAGTCTAGCTAACATTTGAATATAAAATAAAAGTAGAAAATATTGATACAGCAAAAATATATTGATACAGTGTATCGTGAACAATCATATTGCAATACATGTATATCGATATATAATATTTTTTGACAGCCCTAAAGAAAACCCAGTTTAAAATATGTGGAATACATTATCGTTTGGCTTTGAATGTATAATAAGTAGAACTGGAATACATGTAAGCTTAATATACTTGTACCATGTATGTTAATAATTGTAATGTGGTGGACATTTGTTAGAATTTGGAATAATTTATAATAAAATAGAAGTGATTTAATACAGTGTATTGCAGAAAGGTGAAGCAATATCTCCCTAATTATGAACCTCGTGGGTTTTCTCCAGGGCCTCCAGTTTCCTCCCACTGCTAAAGACTCCTACGCGCAAGCAAATTATTGAAATAAAATTAAACCATATGTTAATCCCAAAATGACCTAGTCTGTGTTGAGTGGACGGTAAACTCCATTTCTCTCTCTCTCTCTCTCCCTACATATGTGATTGTGATGTCGTTTTTGTTTTCATCGAAAAGATAATGGAAATTAGTTGTCTATTCAAATATTCTATTTTCTAATTCATTTGATTCAATTGAAGTCAAATGATCAATATTTTAATTGTGTTTGTTACATCCGTTTATTTCTCAAAATTGTGAATCTTTCAAATTATTCGATTTTTTCTGTTTATTGCTTACATTGTATGCATGCCATTAACATTATTTTTTAAATATTGTTTTGGCTGTATTTTCTGATATAGTTTCATACATCAGTAAAGCTGACTGGTAAAATGAAATGTGCATGAAACTGTAAATCAATAAATATTTGAAGGTGATTGATTTAAGATTATGGTTCTGGTAACAGCAGGTTTATGGTTAAAGTGAATAAGAATTGTTAAGCGTGCAATATAGTCTATAAGTTTTAATGTAAGAAATCACACACATGCCAGTTTAACCAGTTGGTTCTTGGTATGTGATAAATATTCATCTTGACTTGACTAGCAGAACAATTATTGATTAATGAGCTGTGATATATTGCAATTTGATGTTCAGTAATCTCTTAATAGCTTGTATTACAGCTTTCTATACATGTAGCTTATATATAGTTATATGTAGGTCTGTAGAATTACATGTACTATACAGAAATGAAATAGGGAGCTACACCACTGACAAAGGGGGAACCATGCTGGAAAATCCTGATGAATCGAATACAGGACATCCAGGCTAGCAACCAACATCTTACTCACTGAGCCAGCGTGTCTCCCTGTAGATTATATAACCACTGAAAATACATGTATGTACATTATATAGTGACACACTGTGGAGCTAATTGTATATTTCTATAATTTTGAGGAAGCCATACAAGGCAAGACTGTCTGTATTGATTTTTCATTGAATTTGTCTATTTATAACTAGCAGGATACCCGGCTTTGTTCAGGATCCAAATTCACATGGGTCCCAAATTCGATGGACTAAAACATTCACGGGGTCATGCTGGTTAATTTGATACCACATATTGTAGCTGTGCAGACGAAATGAAATGAAATGAAATGGGGTTTAACGTCCTACTGTTCTGCTCCTAACCTGGGCTAATGAAGACGGGCATACGCCATACAGTGTGCTATGGGGGAAATTTTGCCCGGACAGCGGCACTACGGCCTACTCTTATATCGAATTCCAACTGCCAAGGGATCTTTTACGTGCACGCCAATGTGTACACGGGACCTCGGTTTTTCGTCCAATCCGAACGACTAGACAGCTTTCCTTGTCAGCCCCTCCGTCCTGCATCATTGACAAGGAAGAACCACGCCGGAAAATCTGGATGAACTTTCTCGGCCAATGCAGGGATCGAACACTCGACCTCCAGGCTAGCGAGCTAGCGTCTTACCCACTTAGCCACGTGATCCCCCTGTGCAGACGAAGTGACCTTTCTTAACAATGTCACTAATACTATAGCCAAAGTTGAATTCTGCTACTTCAACATCTCCCGCCTCCCAGAACCATCAAAATATTAAAATGAATAAATTGATGATACATCACTTTGTCTGCCTACCAATGATATGTTTCTAGTTCCACTCAGATGTAGCTCTTGCAAAATTTTACAGTGGGCGTCTGTGGGTGTTTTTTTTTATGTTCGAACTTTTTATAAAAATGAAGCCCTGATGTACATATAATGTATGTACATGTATGCCAATTTCAGTTAGACATGTCGTATGTGTTTTTAATGTAAATATATGTATAATATCCTGATTATAAGAAAATAACTGTCTGGAATTAATTATACCAAGATAATCTGTCTTTGTACCTGGGAATTAGTGTTATAATTTAATCTAATAATATGTGCTTATTGAAACCAGGAATTTTAATGTATGGAAATATGAGTCCTTTATCTACATTGTAAGTTTGTGAGTGGGGGTAGGGGGGTGGGGCAGCACATATCAACTACATACATGTACAGGATCCCAATATCATTCATTCCATAATAGATTAAACAATTCTGTAAAACATGTAAATTTTATGGAATATAATAATAAACATTAAAGTGGAGATTCAATGTACAATGTATGTACAGGTAGTGGTTCAGGTGTCGTGGTTTGACTCAGTACTCAAATTTGTCTACAGGTACATGTAACTTCCTGTATCTTTGGGTTTTTTTCATTGTTTTTAATTTAATTCTCTGCTGGAGTGCTATTCAACAACCCCAGTTATTAATAAGTACATGTATTAATGTTTGATATAGTTTTGTATATTTATTCCGTCTTCATTAGCCCAGTCGCCTGTCCAACCTCGTGTGTTTTCTCCGGGTCCTCCGGTTTCCTCCCACTGCTAAAGACCCCTACGCGCAAGCGAATTATTTAAAAAAAAAAAAATTAAACCATATGTTAGTCCCGAAATGACCTAGTTTGTGTCTAGTGGACGTTAAACCCCATTTCTCTCTCTCTCTCTAATTAGCCCAGTCAGAGCAGAACATTTTGTGTATTTATTTATATTTTTATTTGTTTGCTTAATTGATAACCCTACTGAGTAAATTGTAAGGTACCAAACTAAACCTTGACATTCATTTACATGTACATTGAAAAAGCAGATATCTGAATGAGAAGTGTGGTGTTACTCTGTGAGATGTTAATCGTTTTTGAGATGGGATTTCGGAGAATAAGAATTTTGTGTATGAATACATACATGTATACATACATGTAAAGCACATTATATCCAGATTGTCCTGTACACAAATTCTTGTCTACACATGGGAAGTGGAACAATGTTCATGTACTGAGAAATGGCGCCAAAGGGAAGGTTATGAATGCTAGGTAGTAAGGTACATTGATTGACATTGCAGCGCAAGATGTAATAAAATTCAGGAATAGAATAGAGATATAGAAATAGGTTGATAGGCCCTCTGACTTTTATGGTTATTAATGAAAGATGTACAGGAATAGTTTTTATATTGGTGATCTACCAATATAGGTGTAAATCTCTTGCAGAAACAATTTATCAGTGATTTAAAGGGGTATAACCATCTCAGTGGAAACAATTCAAGGGTCAAAATCTGTCTCCTGAACAATTTATAACAAGATATATCATCTAGAGGAATGTAACTATCTTAGTTTAAGCAATTCCATGTATTTACCATTATGGGTTACATCTCTCCCAGTCTCCCAGGAACAATTTAATATTCATTTATTTACCATCATGGGTTACATCTCTACCAGGAACAATTTAATGTACATGTATGTAGTAGCATCTCTCCAAGCAACAATTTATTGCCATTTTTATACGCCCACATTTAAATGTGGTCATATATTGTCGTCGCCCCCATCCGTCCGTCCGTCTGGCGGTCCGGCGCCCACAATTGATTGTGGACGCTCTAGAGGCTAAAGTTAATATCCGATTGACTTTAAATTTATACCCAGTGTTTAAGGTCTTGAGACGAAGAAGCCTATTGATTTTCAGCGATTTCCAATAATTATTGCCAGAGTTATGGCCCTTGATCACTTCAAAAAATCTTGTAGACGCTCTAGAGGCCAAAGTTAATATCCCATTGATCTTAAATATATACACAGTGTTAAAGGTCATGAGACGAAGAAGCCTATTGATTTTCAGCGATTTCCGATAATTACTGCCAGAGTTATGGCTCTTGATCACTTTGAAAAGTCATGTGGACGCTCTATAGAGACCAAAGTTAATATCCAATTGACTTTAAATTTATACACAGTGTTTAAGGTCATGAGACTAAGAAGCCTATTGATTTTTCAGCGATTCCCGATAATTACTGCCAGAGTTATGAACCTTAATCACTTTGAAAAATATTGTGGACGCTCTAGAGGTCAAAGTTAATATCCGATTGACTTTAAATTTATACACAGTGTTTAAGGTCATGAGATGAAGAAGCCTTTTGATTTTCAGCGATTTCCGATAATTACTGCCAGAGTTATTGTCCTTGATCACTTTGAAAAATCTTGTGGACGCTCTAGAGGCCAAAGTTAATATCCGATTGACTTTAAATTCATACATAGTGTTTAAGGTCATGAGAAGAAGAAGCCTATTGATTTTTAGCAATTTCCTATAATTACTGCCAGAGTTATGGCCCTTGATCACTTCAAAAAATCTTGTGGATGCTCTAGAAGCGAAAGTTAATATTCGATTGACTTTAAATTTATACACTCAATAACACAGTGTTTAAGGTCATGAGACGAAGAAGCCTATTGATTTTCAGCGATTTCCAATATTTGCTGCCAGAGTTATGGCCCTTGATCACTTTGAAAAATCTTGTGGACGCTCTAGAGGCCAAAGTTAATATCCAATTGACCTTAAATTTATACACAGTGTTTGAGGTCATGAGACAAAGAAGCCTATTGATTTTCAACGATTTCCGATAATTACTGCCAGAGTTATGGCCATTACTGAAAAAAGTAAAAATACATGTATGCGACAACCCTTGTTGACTGCCCGGCCGATTTAGTTGCTGTGGGCGTATGTTTCGTTGCCTGGCAACCTATCTTTATGGATTATGTAAACAATTTGATACTTACATGTCCATCTGTATAACATATTATATCAATGTACGGTAGATGTTTATATAAGTTTGGTAAATGCAGTAACAATGCAGTGGAGTATACTTTCGATAGTATTTAAATTAGGAGACAAAATATATTTACAGTAGTTGACTGAGGATATAAAAAATCAATGAGGAAAAATGTTACCTATTCGGGAATACAAAGGACATAACGAATTAATACCAAATATGGTATGGTAGATATGGTACTTATAATTACAGGAGAGAAAAATACATAATGATGTACATAATGTATAATGTACTAAGAAATTATATTTATGAGAAAATTGAAAAATTGTATACATGTACTTGTACATGAAATAACATACTGTATGTGCAAAGAAAGATATTACTCACTTGATATCAGTATACATGTAGCAAAATAAGGACATTTTTATTTTATTTTAAATGAAAATAGTTATAAAAGTACATAATGTGAAAATAAGAAATTATATGATAAACCTTGAGAAAATTAAGATATGAAAAAAATAAGGATGTAAAAAGATGAATGTTGAAAGGGATTATAAGAAATTTAAAAAAGAAATGATCCTTTTCCTCAATTAATTGCATATTGTATGATTTGCATAATATGTGACCACTCCCCTGTGTAAAAAGATTACATGTTGGCTAGGAATATGAAATGAAGATGGCCATATGCCATGCAGTGTGCTATAAGGGAAATTTTGCCTGGACAGCAGCATAATGGCCTCGTCTTACTTCAAATTCCAACTGTGAAGGGTTCTATAATGTGCACCACAATGTGTACATTGGACATCAGTTTTTCATCCCATCTGAATGACTAGACACTGTTCCTTGTCAGGCCCTCTGTCCTGCACTAATGACAAGGGAAAACCATGCCAGAAAATACTGAGGAACTGTATCTGCCAACACTGGGAGCGAATGTGAGACATCCTGGTTAGCAAGCTAGGGACTAACTCACTGAGCCACCATGACTCCCATTAATAAGACATAAAGCTGTTGGACTTTATGATATTATATTGTGTAAGCTTCCTTGATATATTCTACAGCTGCAGTCAAACTGTATTGAAATACCAGATGGTGTAGTATATAGTAAAGAAGACATTTAAGATAGAATTTATATATCTGTATGAAACTCAGCTGCACATGTAACCCTTTTATCATTGATGTAAAAATGTGGGGTAGATGTTGATATAAACTACTGTTGTCTTCAACAAGGTTACTTTATTTGATATCTAGTTTATAAAAAATACATATGATGTAACTTTCAACTTAAGGTTTCAATCATTTATTGGTCACCTTGAGAGGGAAAGGTGGAGGGGGGAATGGGGTATAATGTTCATTTGACATTAATCAGAACTAAGAATAAGATGCATGTGTGGGATCTTTAGAAGTGTGAGGAAACTGGAGATCCTAGGGAAAAAAAAAACCACAACTAGAAAAAAATCCACAAGATTAGAATTCAGCTTATCCTACACCTCAGAGTGTCTGAACCCATGACAGATGTGTGTAACAAACCTTATAGTCAACAGTGCATTCTTAATTTCAATTTTGTGACCTTACCAATAAAGAAAGTGTGATTGATTGAGATAATGATCTATATGTACAGTATGACATATGTGTTTTATAATTTTGGCTAGGTATAGCAAGGTTGAGTTGGCAGAATATTGGTAACGTTAAAAATAAAAGCAGTATATATTTCTGAAACTTTTTTTAAATAACTTTCCAGGCTTACAAGTAGGACTGAAAAGAAGAAAAAATTGAGGTTAACCAAAATATGTTATGCAAAAGTAACTTGAGCGCATTACTGATAATAATCAGGTATTTTGCAAGAAGATAACAAACTGGCTAACTTTTTTTTTCTGGCAATAGTCCAATTGTGATGGATTTGAAAATTGTTTTAAAAAAACCAATATTGTTAACTTAATCTCTCTTACTTTAGGAAAGTATATGAAATATTTCATACATGTAGCTTACCTGCTATAAAATGCACTCAAATCGATTATTTACTATTTACTTAAGAAAACAAAATCAAAATACAAACAGTATATAATCTCCTGACTTGGATATTCATTCAGATAAAAAAGCTTTTAGCAAATATTGTAGTTAATGCTTGTATGTTTTGACTATATCCCATTTACCTGTATTTTCTCTGTAGAGGATGCCGAATATCAACAAATTTTCATTTCATCATACACACTTGTAATTACTGATCTGAATTTTGTTTGGAATGGATTCAAAATTCCTCAAATAATAACGACCAGAGAATTTAACAGTTTTGTTTTAAACAGCAAAAAAGGAATTTATACTCTTTTGTTTACTGGGCCAAATACACTATAACCATTTGTAAGTGTTAGTTGATCCAACCATGTGGGTTTTCTCTGGGTCCTCCCGTTTCCTCTACCAGCTAAAGAACCCTACATGATGTACATGCAAGTGATTTATTGAAATATAATTGAACCATACAATGTTATGCATGTTAGTCCCAAAATAAATTAGTTTTTGAAGAGTAGACATTAAATCCCATTTCTCTCTCAGTCTCTCTTTTATTTATGGTACTGACTAGTCTTTAGTGTTAAATTGAAATGTAAGTGATTTAACTTCAGAGGTAAAGGAATGGGGTTTAACGCCTTGTCAAAACAATACTATGGTCATTTTCAGACCGACACATGGGAATTTTTGTTTCTATGGTTAGGCGAATACATTTTCCCCAGATAGCAACATTGCTGCCAACTTTAATGATTTCCAATTGGTTTGGTCCAAACAAAGTATTTTTCAAAAAGCATTCATTCTAAGTATTAAACTTTCTAACAATTAAGTCTTTATTAGCCGGAGATGTGTTGCTTAGGTAGATTAGATTTTGTTTAGAAACATTTTCAACAACTAACCTACATGTAAACACAAAACGGTTTTGAAGCCAGGATTTTGAGTAAAAACAGCATTTGTTTATTATATTAATGTATACAAAGACTTGTAGCCATTAAACACTTTTAACAGTCAATGAGTCAATTGATAAAGATTTATTTGATTATTTTACACCTATTCTGTAAGTCAATTGATATTGATTTATTTGATTATTTCACACTTATTCTTTAAGTCAATTGATACAGATTATTTCACACTTACTCTTTAAAGACAATTGATACAGATTATTTCACACTTAATGGTACATGTAATTTTGTTCTTGATAATTGTAATCACGAACATGTATAATATGTTATTTTATACCTGTAATTGTATTTAAAATGAATCCTGTTTCATCCATGTTTTTTTAATTAACGTACATGTTATATAATTTATCCTCAAAGATAAAACAAATAGGATGTCTGTAACTAAATGAATATAAACAAAACTGATATCTTTGTATATAAAGTTATAGCTTACTTAAAGGTGCAGTCCCAGGTATACTTTAATGAATAAAGCTGGTATATATGGGATGAAAGACTCTTGCAAATCTTTAGCTTAGTCGGTCCTTTTGGCTGGTGCACTTTGTAGAATCCAATCCAGTTACAATTGGTTAGATTAGTAAGATGGAGTAACCTGTTCAATTTGAACTATCTTGTTCATTACCGGTACTCCTTTCAGTCATCTACAAGGTGGAGCAAAACCAGAAACTAAACTGGAATAAAACAAAGATTTCAATAAATTAGATTAGATTCTATTTGTTTATAATACAAACGATCAGAAGGAATTGGCATACCATTCTTAATTATATCACAAGCTTCTGTTTATATTCATTCTTTGATGTTTTCTACATTTTTCTGATCATCTTCATATGTGGAATGGAGGATGCCATATTTTTTGACATTACTAAATTACTGTTGTACTACCCTTACCTTATGTGCAAGTCACATTATGGGTACATTGTAAATATTTATAGATATGTAAATGTCAATACAAAGCTGTAAATAATAGTCCACTCATTGATTCTCGAACTTGTTGATACCATTATACAACAACTTCACCTGTTGGTAAGCAATCATTTGTCTGATGCAGGAGGGAAATTATTTCTGATCGTGATGGTATTAGCTCAAGGCTAGACGATTTAGGTAAGCCACCCTTGGCCTGGCAGATTGACAAAAATGTTTATTAATGGATGACTTTAGTTCTTGACTTAAACAAAAGTTGTAATTAAAGAAGGAAAAAAATGTTTGTGTTATATTATATAGATAGTAGTTAAAGGTTAATGCTAAAATTTAGGATTGTGTCTTTGGGTAGGAGATGGGATCCATGATGGCGTAGTGTGTAAGACATTGCCTCATTAACTTGGAGGTCCCCATGTTCAATCCATTTCTTGGCCTATAAAGTTTTTCTAGCGTGGTTCCCCCACATCAGTTTACTCAGTTATGTGGGACCTGGCAAGGGACAACATATAGGTCCTGTGTACTCCTTGGTGTGCATGTAAAAGAACCCTTGACAGTTGGAATTCGAAATAACAGTAGGCTGTAGTGTCCGGACAAAATTTCCCTCATAATAGTCATAACACACTGCATAGCATTAGCCCAATCGATGCAGAACAGTAGGATGTCAAACCCCACTTCATTTCATTTTTTGGGATAGGAGGTAAATTACACCTATGTGTGGGTTGTATTGATTTGGGTCAGAACTATGGGTGACACCAGACAGGGACAGAGAACTAATTCAGAAACATGGGGGCATAACTGCAAGGTGGCAAAATATAAATATTTATTTTATGATCAGTAGTGGAATACCGCGTTTTATCAGTGAAATAAAAGTGTTATTCCACTGGCTAGTTGTTTTTACCTAAAATGATTGTAAAATCATAAAATAAATAGAACATTTGTCGTTTTGTCGTGAATAACATATTTTATTTCATCTCTAAGCAAGAAAACGTTTATATTTTCTTGCTTCTCGATGAAATAAAATATGTTATTCCCTCTAAAACGACAAATATCCTCTATGTATTTCTGTTTGCTTCATTAGTAGTTTTTATTTGGCAAGAACTTTTGCCTTCAAGTACAAATTTGTGCATTTTTTACAGGAGTATTTGGGAGTCTTGGTTTGGTTGATCTTCGGCTACATGTGGCTATGGCCTTTTTAATGGCCTTTTGACGAATTCCTCATAGTTTGCGAAGACCTGTAGAAAAGCTCTTGGGGTCACATATCTTTTTGGGATGGTTTGATTTGAAGTGAATACCAGGGGCGGATCCAGGAATTTTTGCAGGATGGGGGTTGCCAGGTTCCTGAGACAATGTATCCCCCCTCCCTCATGGTCTCTATCGCCATTTTGGCGTATATACATACACATTGAGCTTTTTAAACAGAGAAATTCAACACCTCGTTTGACGTCAATTTTTATTTTGAATTAATACAATGACATTGTGATTCAATTTCATGGATGCAAAGCATTAATTGTGATATCACATAATGTCTATATCATTATCTCGTGCTTTGAGTGCCCATCCTATCTCACATCTGACGATAAAGGATAAAGCACACGGCCGAGAAACTTTTCTCATAAAAAGTGTTGATTTACAAAAAAATTATGTAGCTGAGCAGGGGGGGGTTATGCGCGAACTCTTAGTTTTTTTTTACTGGCATGCGCACAGGTACTATTTCTTTTTCTTTTAACAAGTACCCAAATCGGGGATTTCGTGCGGAGGTAGTTCGGAGGTAAACAGTCTGTGAAGTACAACACTTGCCACTGTACCTGTGTATCGCTAATTATAAACCGAATGTGTGAAGACAGTTCATACATATCACTCAAAAATTTTTCAGTACAAACTCAGTTGATTCACGCTCGATTTGCTACTAAACAAACCCATCGGTTTATTTTCTCAACAGTGTGACCCGAAGTGACCGCGGATTTATTGACCTTGTATGAACTTATCCATAGCTATATCCTTACACCGAGAGAAATTATCTAGTCTCGGTGAAAAGAACCATGGTCATCTGGTAGAAAATTACTTTTGTATTTTTTGGAACGGAAAACAGTGTTTTTAGAAGCAAACTAACCTGCCGCACATGAGGAAGTCATTATACTAATAATAAAAGGCGAGACCTCTTTTTGCAGCGCAGGCTTATCACTGAGTAGTAAACCGTCCACAAACAATAATATAGGAAGCCTAGTGACGAGTGTAGTAAGTAGGCTATAGACTATAGGTTTGAGTCAAGATTACTCGCTTTCAGTTTACTCTGTTTTTGCGATAACCAATTATGTGAGAAATACCATACTGACATTCGGTTTTTAAAAGTTGTACGCCAACTAAATGCGTTTGTTAGATACTGACAGAGCAGCCCCGAGTCGAACAATCGCCGCCCGAGCTGTCTTCGTCAGCTAGTTTCACAATATCGTGCAATAGGTGTATTAATGTGATTTTTAGGTTTAACCCCGCAAACAATGCCAAAATAGTGTTTTCACTGCTTACAGAAAACTGAAATTTATAAAAAAAAAATTTTATGAGGGTGACCCTCCCACACACTCCCTATCGAGCTGCCGCTCGGTCTGCGCAGCCTCATGCCTGGCACATACTGTCAACATTGTATATTTTTCCGTTTCCGCCCTTCCCCCCCACAATATATATTTCACGGCTACGTTGTGACGGTACTAGCATACCCAGTTATTGACACCCATTACATCACTCCTGTCTAACAAATCATAAAGCTGTGGTGTTACGGTGGCGGCATAGTATTTCACCGTAACACCACAGCCACTCTAACCATTCATAATACATCTAACTATCCCTTTACAGCACTTCACTCCCTACACATTTCCCCTCGTCCTACTTTCCCAAACGTCAACAACACATCTCATACATCCAGTTCGCTGATTAACCCTTGTACCATGTCTACTGGATCTGCCCCTGAATACATTGGTTGGTGTAGGTTAGTTTTCTATAGGCACTAGAGGATAGATGGTTTCACATGATCTTCGCAAGCCAGTATTAAGTGAGGTCACTGAGGTGTCATTTGTAGGAATACAATACCTTACTGAAAGATAGATTTGAGTATTGTATTCTACTGAACACAGGACTGGAATACATGTACATATATAAATAGTGGCTGCACGTTTATATTAGATATAATACAATATACATTAGGCCTACTATAAATATACTTATTCTATTCTATTGAACTGTTATAAAGATGAATGAAACTCCATACATGTACAGTGTATGGGTTTGTAATCTAAATAATGAAGAAAATTGTGGCCTATTTTGGATTGAGTCATGCTGGACTTCAGTCAGTTTGCATTTCCTTCAAAATCTATTTTTATTTGGTTTATTACTGTTAGTTTTAATTATGTACTTATTATGTTCATCTACAAAATTATTGAATCTTACAAACCTCCATGTGTTTCACATACAACAGTTAAAACCCCAATTCCTAAATTGGTTGGTTATCAAAGTAACATTTTGTTTACAGTCAATGTATAGGAGTTGAACAATGGCCATTAATCAAAAATATTGCAAGTACCTTAAGTGGTGGACACATTAGCTGAATGATTTGCCCGAATCAATCCATGCCTAATTGCAGCCGAATGAGTGGACACATTAAGCGAGTCCTTCACCTGATTCCCCAGTCGATTGCATCACCTTTCACGCCACATTATTAAACATGGCAGTGACCATGTCTTCAAACAATCATTTGACTTCTCAATATTAGTGGTGATTGACTTATGAATGCTACAATCAAGCGAATGCTTCGGGGAAGCAGACACACTAGGAGAATATATCATACATGGGTAGGGTGACCCACCATAAATAAATATCTCCATATATCTCGACAATTACGCCTCAAATCAGTTTCACACAATTATAGTCACTAAATAAACGATCATGTTGTACTTAATAAGCTATGACCATTAATCATGTATAAATAATAGACTGAAAACTGGTTCCAAGAGTCGTCCATAACATCCAGACACTTTTGAGTAAAAGATAGGTTACGTGCCCTTGTTTTGAAATTAGTCTTGCTTAACCAGTCTATCGACCATTCTACGTCTGATTGACAGGTTGGGATAATCAAGACTACTTTTTTACGAAACATAACAGAAAGCTAGAACAAGAAATTGAATTTAGAAATAAGCACGTTAGGTAGCTCAACAATCGTTTTAAGAAGCTTGTAAAAGTAAAATGAAACTACTGCTAGTATCATGTTCCTGTCTAACCCGAGTGATTTAGAGATATTATTTGTACTAAACCAAAAGATGCCGCTCTTAACGGTACAGTTAATGATAAAGCGATTTAAAAAATGAAACAAACGTAATTTCTAAATCTGCTGTAATAACCAAGAAGCTTAATTTTACTGCTATTCAAAATCGTCAACAATAAATTTTTTACGGCTGTAATAGTTGATAGATTTGTAGAGAATTGCACGTGCCATGGCTATTTTTAGTATCATACTGTCAGAAAGTTGGTCTCGGCACGGCGAATGTGCACGCTTCAGTGGTAGTCTCGAACTATCAGCGGTGGACTGTATTTCTGTGAGTACATGGGTCACCCTAACATGGGCGAATCATTCAGCCCATTGACAGTGGACACACTAGGCAAATATCGGCACCGATTGATTCAGTCGAACCATTCGGCTACTGTGTCCGCCACTATACTCAAGAATATTGGCTTAAGTACCTTATCAGAGCTTAAACTGTTGATTATTTTGTCTAATTTCCACTTTAAGCTAATTCAATTAAAAAAATCATAGCATTTTCAATACTTGTAAACAACTTGTCTAAAGAAATATTTATGATAAAATTATTGTATTAATTTCTTATTACTTTTCTTTTAGTACCACCAAAGTGGAAAGGTAATGATTTTTAAGTTCATGGTAATGTTTTAGTAAAATTGCTGTTTAACACACTAACATAATGTATATATTGTATTTTATTTTAGATTTTGACTTGATATGTAACCTTTATAACATAGTGTTTGAATTTTTATACGCCCACATTTAAATGTGGTCGTATATTGCCGTCGCCCCCCGTCCGTCCGTACGTCGGTCTGTCACCCACAATTGCTTGTGGACGCTCTAGAGACTAAAGTTTATATC